TGGGTGTTGCGTAAATCAGGAAACCTCCTCTAAAGGGTTGGCTATCTTTGACCCTACAAGATCCGGGCTGCATATTGCATATGGTGTCCCGACTTTGAGCCTTTGGAAGCCTTTGGAAAGGCCAAAAATGGGCCTACTAAAAGACCATCTGGCGGCTCCCCCTCAGTCCACAACTGAAAAGCAATTGTCTCCTATGAGAAGAATACCACGATTCTATCCACGTCTTCGAACTAAACAAAGGCAAACAGCTGAAAGGAAAAAATCAAGAAGCAAACGACAACAAATAAACACACAAACGAACACACAAACAAGCAAGAAGTGAAAGCAACAAAGACAAATGGTCCCGGGAGAAAAAAACCTCTGTCCAGAACTAACCAGGTTTTGCTTTTCCAGCTTGTGGTTTGCTTTCTGTTGAGGGCAGTTCTTTCGGGTGTGGTGGCTTACATGTTCATCAAATAGCCCCTGCACAGCTAGAATGACAGAACGGCTTGCTATATGTGGAATATCCAGTGAACATTCTAAACGGGTTCTGAGGCCAATACTCAGATCATATAGGAGCATAAGTGTTTGTGCACATATATATATATATTAATATTATTATGATTATTATTATTATTTAAATTATTATTATTATTATTAGCATATTTATTATTATTGTTATGATTACTATTATTATGTTACATGTATACACATGTCATATATGAACTGCTTACCTCACACCATACCACAGCTTTTGGCGGCTACGCGAGGTGCTGCTGCAGCGCAGTGCCGAGGAGTTGGAGTTCCCCGACGAGGCACGGAGAGTCTCCGAGTCTCCGGGTCTTTCACTCTGGACTCACAGCCCTGTGTCGTAGTCTTTCGGATCTCCGAAAATCTGTCAACCAATTGTAGGGTAGACTAAATATGGTTGACAGAATCGGTTGTGGGCCAAGAGATGCGAACTCCACAGCTCTGGGCGTATGTTGCCTACGATTCGATTTTCTGGATTCAGAAAGGGAAGGTTACCCTTAAATAAGCGGGATCCAAGATAGGTTCCACTGCGCCCAAACCATCGCGACCCAGGAGAACTCCAGGTACTTGTACTTCTTTTATATAGTGGCGACATAGTGGCTGCATATCCCATTGAACGAGGATAACGGATCCTGGTAGGGTCTTTTTTCCACTTTGGTGCGCGGACTCCGGCTGAGGGGTGTGCATTTCAGGTGCGCGGTTCGGCCGACGGGGAGTGGATTCCGGGTGGGAACTTCCAGGGGTTGCCGAAAGAGGGTAGCTCGGTAGTGAAGCCACAAGTTTTCTTCGGGTGAACAACTTATGTAGGCCGTAAGAGCATCCCTGGTGTGTCCTAGGTCGATGGTCATGACTTGATCTGGTTTTAAAGCGGCCCCACAACCCCAGTCAGGGAAAGGGGGGGTTGCCATGACACCCTAGGGGCCTTGCCATGACACCGTAAGGGGGCTTCTGCGGCCTTCTCCAAATGTGTTGTCTTTTTTAGGGCAGAGTAAATACGAAACAGGATCTGAAAATATTGCTGTTGGGGTACCCCAGAGTTGCACCAAGCCATTTGCAGACATTCTCCGGATGCCGAATAGCAGACACGTGTTGAATTGCCTGAATGAAGCTGAAAGCGGATGGATATGAGTCCAGAAAAGTGTCAACACTTAGCCTTGAACTGGTGGATTTTAACGGGAAACCAGTGGGCCCCAAACTTGTCAGAAGTAGATTTGAGAACACACTTCAACGGACCCAATAATTTCGAGCCCGATTCATCAACCTGGTGTAATCACAGTGGGTGTGTCCCGCCTAAAATGGAGCACCCAGCTGTGGCATTATTTGTCACACTCCCCGCAGTTTGCTTGAGGTCGACACGCCCTTGGAGGTGCCGGCCAGGGAACGGTTCCAGAGGCGCGGTTGCGCAAAAAGATGGCGGCTGCCAGGTCGAGTCAAGGAGGCCCCACTTGATTCCTGAGGGGGTGCAATAGAGTTCCTGTATTTAACTCAACAGACAAGAAGTGGTTGAACACCTGCAATCGAAAGTGCTGGATCCGTTTGCAATGCGAGGATGGCAGGGCCTTCATGGTTTCTCTTTTGAGAGGGGTTTGTTCCTTTTTCTTCCTTTTTCTTTTGATCTGATTTCTTCCGGTGCCCCAGTTGTCGGGATTCCATTCATCGCTTTTCGTTAAGATCCACCAACCACTGGCCCCGTAGGGTCCATTCAAGCCCTCCATGTAAGGATTGTTGGGAATAGCCCCGACCTGAACTGGTTGTGTTGGGTGGCCGGACTATCCTCCCCTCTTCGTTGGGCATCTCCCCTAGCTTTCAGGGATTTACGGATCTCATGTGAGTTCTACTTCTTTCGAGGAACGACATTCAATCTGGCCTCGTGGAACTGACGGCCCATTCTTTCCAAAGATCAATTTCTTGCAGAAAAAGCAAGAACATCGCCCAGGAAATTGTTGTGGTCTCTCAATGGAGCAGCAGAAACCACAGGGGGATCAACCTTTACTTTAGTGAATAATTGATTTCCAGGCTGTTGTTCCAAAGAGGATCCAAGGACCCAAGGTTGTGCCAATTCGGTGAAGCCTAAGGCCCAACATGACGTTTCCATACACCAGAATGGGTCCCCGTAGTCTAAAACAAATATTGTGCGCAGATTCATTCCAGGTCCATGTCCAGGCATTGGTTGATTGAACATTAGTTCTTTACCACAGGTTTTGGGTAGACCCTTGCAGTCATACCAGGCTCTCAGTGGGGAATATATGTCGGAGCCCTGCGAATGAACGATTGGCGATCCACTTGAAGGAAGTTACCAGTTGGATGGTTCAGTTCGGGATCATTCCACCTCATTCCCAAGTTGCACAACCAGGTATTGATAATCCTTTGGATTGATCCTTGAAATCACAAGGTGTTTTGATTCTGACTCGGTCAGACAGGCTTGGGCTGAAATGAGTGTTCGAAAAATGGCTGTCACGCCAGGTACAGAGGTCTCAAGAGTTTTCGTACCTCCAACTGGGACCCATACGAAGACCTTCCCGTGGAGCCGAGACCTCGGAAACGCGGCTGTTGAGACTCGGAAGCTCCGAAGGGCTGAACCACGAGCGGTATGTCAAAGGCAAATGTATATATGAATCTGCAAATACATGCCCGGGGTATCCAACGTATTACATATTTTGTTTGTTGGACAAATATGGGTGTCTCTTGTTTTGGGGGACCCCTTCTGCCTCCCCCCCAAAAAAGCGAGGGAGGGTTTATTTTGGTTCCCCTTGAAAACCACAGAAACAGGGGTACCGTCAAAAGCGACACCCGCAAGGTTGCCATCTGAACATGATTTTGTGCACATATGAACCATTGGTTGATTTGCCTGCCCAAAGTGGAGAATGCTGGGTTGATATGGGCGTGTTGTTTCTTGTGAGGGTACCCCCTTTTGGGGTTGGTTTAAAGGGAAGCACATGAGCCATCACATGGAAACCACCAATATCCACCAATCTTGTTGGATTACCCTATTTTGAGACAAACCCATATGGGCGTACAATAAGCCTTTGAGCAGACTATTTATTTATTTTATATATATATATATGTGATCCATTGAGGGTTTGCGACGCGGGAGTAGAAACAAAATGCTGAGGTACTCGCGGATTTGGGAGTTCGAAGCCTTTGCCTCGACGGCCGTGGCCTAGTTCCGCAGCTTCGTGCCGGGCGCAGCCTAGTGCCGCTAGTGCAGCTTGAGTCTCACTTGAGTTCCTGGACTTGAGTTCCTTTTTGGAAAGATCATACGAGTGGCAAACGAACACTTCGGACTCTTCGGCCAATCGACTCTATCGGAAGTGGAAAGTTCAAATTTTGGGCAGAGCGGCCGCAGGCTGATTGACAGAAAGTGCAAGTTCACCATAACGGCCTAGCCAAGACAACGGGTTTGGGACTACCTTAAACCAGCTTTTTGTTTTTGAGGGGGGTATACCCGCAAGCCAAACCTTGTGCGGGGCGGCAGTTGAACCATCCCTTGTATGTTGTTTGGGTATTTTCCGCCGTAGTTGCCATTGGTTGGCAGACCTCAGGAATTGATCAAAGGATTGACTTGCGCACATCTTCGCTGTGGAGTGGATGAGGGTGTTTCAGTGATGAGTGCTGTTGTTAGCTGCGTACCAAGCAGCTGCCTGGCAAGAACGTGACAACATGCCTTTATTTGAGCTATCACCCTCGACTGAGTACAATTTTGGGAGGGGGACACATATGCAATCCAGGTACGTGTTTTTTTTTCTTCGAGGGGGGGCTAATTTACCCCAAAGTTGAGCACCCCTTGCTGTTGCAATACTTGTCGGCTTATTGGCATGTTTGGGCCACTCGTTCCATTCAGAGAAAGGCTGGTGCGGGGTTGGCAGAGGTGGCCCGCATGAGAGATGAACATTGCAACCTAGCGGGTACCCAGGGTCAAATTGCAGTACAACTTTGACCCCCCTCGGTTTAGGGCGGGGCAATGACCCACTGAAAATGAGATTGACCCCAGAAAGGGTTTGCATTTTCTACCTCTGGGCTGGTGTCAATTCCGGAAATGCTTGCTTCAAAAGGGGTCGCTATGAACGCTCGCTCAGATGTCTCTGCAGACGTTTCATGCCTTGCTTCCGCAGCCATTGTTCTGGTCCTTCATTATATCCTGCGGTAAAAAGTCGATTGTACGTTCGGCACATGTTTCAGCCACTACAATGAGCCATGGCCACTGGTTCTGGGAAAATTATGACGAGCTCACCCAAGGTTAAAACGAGCCCACCCATGATGAAGGTCCTTCACTTGGGCATTGCTTGTTTTCGATTTGTGAATTCTGGTTCATCCCCCAGATTCTTGGGAACAAAAAACACAGACCTCGGGAGAAAACTGATTCCAAGTTGCTTGGCAACAAGACCCGGGCCATGAATTGGCGTGTCGCCTGAGCGGCGTGCTGCGCCTTTGGATGGCGGTGCTGGCTTCTTCAGTTCCACCAGCTCCGCCACCGCGAGGCCTCGGATGTT